TCTCTACCACTCTCCATCTTTACTTTTTTTTTTTTTTTTTTTTTATTTATGTATTATGTATACAGTGTTCTGTTTGCATGTATCACTGCAGGCCAGAAGAGGGAGCCAGATCTCATTACAGATGGTTGTGAGCCACCATGTGGGTGCTGGGAATTGAACTCAGGACCTCTGGAAGACCAGTCAGTGCTCCTAACCTCTGAGCCATCTCTCCAGCCCCCATCTTTACTTTTATGAGACAGGCTCTGCCACTGAACCTGGAGCTCACTGATTTAGCCAGACTGGCTGGCCAGCGAGCTCCGTGGACCCTTCTGCACCCACCTCCCTAGCGCTGGGTACAGGCACACACTGCACCCTGCTTTTTATCTGAGTGCTGAGGACCCAGACACTTCATCCACTGGTCATCTCCCCTGCAGCTTCTTCCCACTTACTGCACTCCTGTTTCTGCTCAGACCCTTCCTCGATCCTTTGGAATCTCTTGTGAAGGGGTTAGGCTGACAGCGGTGGGGTGCTCTGGAAACGTCTACATAACTATCAGGAAAAGAGCACAATGGTGGCTTCCACACTGGCCATGCCAGCCATTCGTTAGATTTGCCTGACTCGGGGTTCCCAGGATGTAGACCCTCCAGCTCCCAGGGGAGCCAGCATGTTCCTCAGAACAAAACTCCTGCCTCCCCGTACTGATTTCCGATTTCCACATCTAGGAAGGTCAACTCTGGACTTCAGCAACAGGCTGATTCTTTTATGCTCCGTGTTGGGCTCACTTTGGGTAGCAATGTCCTTAGCTAGTAACTCCTTGGGGATTGTTTAACTGTGAACTATAGCTTTCATAGAAGTAGTAAGCCGGAGATGAAGCTGGTGTGGGCTGTGGTCAGCGCATCAAAACGAGGCCCACTGGGAGGTGGAGGGGCTCTATGACTCTATTGAAGGCACTTGGGGCTTCAATGCTTGATCTAAGAATCTGAACAAGAGTTCCACTGGGAAGGTAGCATTCTAAATCAAGACTGAGTTGAAAATAAATTAGAAGCCATTGTCATGGGTTGCTCTTCTGCCCAAAAGTGTATTTGGGGTAGGGGCGAGAGGGGAGGCGAGCAGTTCTTACCTGTCATCAGCTTTCATCTGGATCCAGTGGACCTGTGGACTACACATCCACCTTGCCTTACAGCTCCTGTAGAACTGAACTGCTCCAGTGGATACCTGGGCCTACAGTGTCCTAGTTTGTTTTCCTGTTGCCGTGATAAACACAGACCCAAAGCAACCTGGGTCCTCTGAGGCTTACTTCAGCTTTTGAGTTATATCCATCATCAAGGGAAACCAAGGCAGGCCCTCAAGGGTGAAACGTGTAGGTGGAAACAGAGGCAGAGACCAAGGTACGTCCGGGCTCATCATTCTGCTACTTACGAGGCCCAGACCCACCCGCAACACCCACAGTGGGATGGGCCATCCTAACATCAAGAAAATGCCCCCAACAGACATGCCCACAGGCCAGTCTAATGGAGGTAATTCCTCAATCGAGGCTCCTGCTTTCCACCTGGACAACAGCTTAGCTCTCATAAGCAGTATTCAGAATTCTGTCTGCCTGCACTGAGCAGCTGGTCTACACGCACAGACCAGAGACCCTGAATCATGTTTTCAAAGGCCAGTGCTTTGCTGAAAAGTGAAATCTGAATGTATGTCACAGAATTAATCACTCCCTGTGTTTTCATTCTGGTCTCACCGACAAATGAATTTTATCTTTTGTGGGGCACCATGGCCACGCAAATGGTGGTAGCCATGAAAGTGGCACTAGTGACTCTTATGTCTTGTGTGTGTGTGTGTGTGCAGATGCATGGTGACAAGTGCAGGGATGTGTGGAGGCCAGGAATAAGTCTCAGCTGTCACTCCTCAGCCACTGTCCACTTTGTTTTTTTGAGACGGGATTGTTCATTGGCCTCCTACTTGCCAAGTAGGCTAGGCGGGTTGATCGGCCAGCAGTTTCCAGGGACTTTCCAGTCTTCACCTCCCCAGTGCTGGGATTCCAAGTGCGCACCACCGTGCCCAGCTTTTTAAATTTTTTTTTTTTTTTTATATGTAGGAGTGTTTCGTCTGCATGAATGTCTGTGCACCGCTTGTGTGCGTGGTACCCACAGTGGCCAAAAGATGGCACTGGATCTCATGGAGCTGCAGTTATAGATGGTTGTAAGCTGTCATGTGGGTGACATGAATCGAACAGGAGTCCCCTGGAAGGACAGAGTGACATCTATCTACTCCCTCCCTCCTCTTTAATGACCCTTAAGCACTGCACTGACAATCTCCTCGTCTCAGGACTTCTATTTAAGAAGAGTCATTTTAACATTTCCATAAGGGCTCAAAACAGGTGCAGGGCTGAGGAACAGACAAGGGACCGAGAGGGTGGCATTGTATACTCATTACGTCATTGTGCCCTAAGTCCTGAAGAAATTCACAGCACAGAATGAGGTGAAACCACTTCCTTAAAAGGATGAAGACATGTAATGGTCACATTAACCAAGCCTCACTGTGATGTGAGGAGCAGGAGCAGCCAGGTCCTCTGCTGAGCAGAAGTGAACAGGCCAAGTGGCCTTGAGGAGGCAGTGGCCAGTCTCAGCGTCTGTGTACAGGGGACCAGCCTTGGCAGGCTCTGATAAGGCCCTGACTCGACTCTTTGTTCTCTCAGGCTTGGCAGCAGATGGAAGCGAACTCTCATAAGCAAGAACTAGCCTTATCCTTTGGGTCAGTGCCCATCTGTCAGACACTTGACAAAGTTATGTTCATGCTAGAAAATGCTCAATATAGCCCCGTTCAGTGTATGACACACGAGATTCATGTCATCTGTTGGAGGACCGTAGCTCTGAAAAACCTCAGTGTCAGAAGCATACGTGACCCTTCTTGTGTCGCCTGGCATCTCACATCACTTTCAAAACCCATCTATAATTCTGGAAAGGGCACCTCCCCAAATCTACTAGTTTTTGTTGTTGCTGTTGTTTTGGTTGGAGAATTATTATCTTTTTTCCTCTGTGTACATCTGATTGTGGAAAAGTACATCTATATATAGTGTTGACAAGCTAAAACAACTCTTAACACACTCAAATATTTGCTCAAGTAAAAAATATTTTCATGGAGAAAAGCAGAACAAAACCAGGCTCCCTGAAGACACACACCAGCATTCACAACAGGCGATTTTTTTTTCCTTACAGTCTCCAGGAGCAGTCAGTAGGGGCCTTGTTCTATTCACTACCAGCTTTAAGTTCACAACGGACCTACAATGTACTTTTTTTTTCCCCTCAAAGACTCCAGAACTCTCACGTGAGTTTGTCTCAAAGATGCTTATATCCTCACCCATACCGTTCCTCTTTGGAGTTCACAGTTAACTCCAAACTACTACAGCCGTCTGCTGGCAGCCTCAGCAACGGGGTTCACAGTCTGTCTTGAATCCTCTCTTCAGGTCACGTGTCCCTGTCAGCTTCCAGCCTGGCTCTATGTCAGAGTCCTAATCTCTTTACCCTGACTTCACATGGTGGCCTGCCCAGAGGCTATCATACTGGGTCAGACCCAAGGCATGTGCCATGGGGAGACATGGCTGTTCTTTTTATGTTAATCTGTAAGATGTGGAAATTACTGAGTTGGCCTGATGCTTCAGAGAATTGATCTCAGGGACCCTGGAGAGGTCTGGTGTTAAGCCACACCCTGTGGTTTTACCTGCTGCTAAATGGTAGGCCATACCCACATCGTCTAGGGCTCCTCTCCTACATACATCTGTTGCTTCAACTTCCCCCAATTTTCTGTTGCTGTGACATTTGCAATGGTGTAAGAAGCCAAATTGAACTTTGGTGTCTCCAGGCCAAAGTCTGAGGTCTTGGCCATCCCTTGTGAGCTGTGGAACTATGCATATCTGACTTGCTCTTTCGCTATTTGTAAGGTGAACATAGACTATATATAGCACATAAAAAATGCTATCCAAGGACAGTAACAGTTACCCTTATCCAGGACAAAGTGAGGGTTCTCTTAGCTTCACAAAGGTGGCCTTAAATACCCTGGTGGTGGTCTTCTGGACGTGACAGATCAAGGACAGCAGCAGTGGTATAGAACACACTTAGCTGTCTAGCCTGGGTTCCAGTCAGCTCCCCACAGCAGCACCTTGTGTTCACTTCATCTGTGTGGAATACCTCAGCGCTTTGCAGCAGCTCCTGATGGGAAGCCAGATCCGAAGGGAGAGTGCTGTGTTTGGGGGAGGACTTCCATGCCTACAGCAGAGCAGGAGCTGGGGATGGTGGAACAGGGGAAGGCTGAGACTCACAGAACTGATTTCCTAGGGTAAGGGAACAGCTTTCTGTATAGATGGGATGGCCAGATCTCCAGGCTCCTGTTTAGGTTATTTGCCATACAACCAGCACAGCTAATGCTTGTGAACCAAAATGTTATTTGTGCAAGCAATTGAGTTTTTGTTTTATACTGCACGATGTTTGCTTTTGGTGAGAACGTCCTCCAGCCCCTTTAAATCCTGCTGTTGTCCAATCAGAGCCAGTGGATTCTGTTTATAATATTTTTGTTTGTTGGTGTCTTCAAGAGCTAAGAAACATTATTTTCAGTTTCTAACGCTGAGAAAATGAAGATGTATTGAAGTGGAGAACTCACACGAATTTGAAAACAGAAAATCACAAAGCCCCACCAAAGCCAAGCAGAGCCACAGATTTGGTACTTCAGCCCACCACTGGCTGCACTGAAATGTGGACCCCTCACTGTTTCAGACTTAGCTACAGTTTGAGGGGAAAATCCATAGCTGTAATTTCACTGTAAAAGATCTCTTAGTCCACGGAGCTGTGCCAGGAACACGGAAAAGGTCTTTTGGAAAGGGCTTTTCCTGACCTCTGCCATGTCAACACACTCGAGCCATTGCTGAGAGGATAACCAGGGCATCTAGATGAAACATCACTGCAAGCAACCAGGCAGGTCAATCACAGTCTAAAATTCACAACGTTTTTTAAAAAAAAGACAGGACCACCAGATTTAGAAAATGTCCTACAATGTGCATTTTATTCCATATCATTATACAATGTTTACATATAGTTATAACTCTTAAGAAAATGCCATTTCTTTACCAGTTATGTATGTAGTGCCTAGATCTTTTACCCTGACATGGAAAGCTGAAAAGAGGGGCAATCCTCATTGAATGCTCTCCCTGCTGAGCTGGAAGGGCCTGCAAGTGTGTCAGCTGGGAAGGAATGGGACTCTTCAAAGACCAGTGTGGCTTCCAGACCCTTGACTTTAATGAACACAGGCGTAAGAAACCCACAGTCTTGTCTTGCAGTCAAACTCAAAACAAAATAAATTAGTGTTGGACAGAAATCTAAATTGCATAATATTGAACAAAAGACCGCCAGGGGTCCCTTTGTTTAAAGTAGCACCGATCCACACCTGATTGTCTCCAACATCAATCTTCCCAGTGGCTCCACCTTGGCACTCTGGCTTAGAAAGCTTTCTGCTCTTGTGAGGCTTCCTACCTGGCTAAGCAAACCGCATGCCTAACCGCTATGAAGTGTGGCAATGTCAACCTGGGAAATGGCACGTTTAAATGATCAGAGACCCAGCGTGGGTTTGCCCTTCTGTGTGTCTTTCCCCACCCCCTGCACTAGCTGGTTCTCTGCAGATGTTTCAGTGACAGTGGTTAAAGGTATATAAAAATGCATCGAAGGAGTTCCCTGGTAAGCAGGTGTTTAAAAACAAACTAAAACAATGAAAGGGAAATGAAAGAATGTGGCCGCGGAGGCCAAGGAGGTTTTCACATGTTGTTTAGCTCCAGTAAGGTCTGGTCCAGCATCTGGTGCATACTAAGGTTTTCTTCTTTGGCATGGGCCACTTTCTCTGTGATGGGATTAGAAAATTAAGTCATGAATAGCTGCATGTCAGACTCGGCAGTGGTTTGTACATTTAGGAAGCAAACGTCAATCACACACAGAAAAGCAGCAGCACTCCCCATGCTTAAGACGTCACTCATCTCCAGACAAGGCCCTGGGTGCGCCTCCACCATCGATCCACCCTGACTTCACGTGCAGGGTGTGTTTGGTGAAGGCCCACCCACTGCGTGCTGTGGGAACAAGGGAGGGGTCAGAACCAAATACAGGTACAGCACTGTTACGCAAACTCAAGTTAATACCAGCACAGGATTCTGAGTTACAGGCAGTTAAAGATCTGATAGCTGTACGACCTCACAGAAACAAAGATGACATAAAATAGGTTTCTGACCGCTTTTTAAGTGGTTTATTTCTACTGCTCACAAGTGGTTATTAACACATCTCATGCACACTTCATTAGGACATTCCCTTAGTATTTCTCTAGTATCCTACTTATTAGCATATCACCCATCAGATTCAAACACCGTTAAACTGAACAAAGCCTACCTTTCGACCAGGGGCTTCTGATAGGAACTCCTGTTTCCAAAAGCTATTTTGCCCAAGCATAGGTACATTGAATCGCATTTCAAACATTAGACATGTCATGAAGATGTTAGGAATACAACTTTGTAATAGATATTTAAAGCAGGACTCACAGACACATTATGAAGATGTTAGGAATACAAATTTTTGTAATAGATACCTAAAGCAGGACTCACAGACGTGTTATGAAGATGTTAGGAATATAAATTTGTAATCGATATTTAAAGCAGGACTCAGCTATTTAGAGGAAATAGAAAAAAAGGTGTTTTTTTTTTTTTTTTTGGTGGGGGTAGGGGTAGGGTCCTTATTATCAGTCAGTTCAAAGAGGACCTGTTGATGCAGGAAGGGCTGAACTGGTATAAATACTTTCACATATACATAATATATCATAAAAACTTTTGGGGGTTGATGAGGATCTAACTGAAACATACAGAGGAAAACGAGGCAAGGCGGGCCTTCCAACCAATGCCTTCCTTCCCTTCCCATTTCTGCAGGGAATGACGTTTTGAACCCCGTGAGTCATCGATTTCCTGAACATGGGTTCCATTCCTAGAACTTGGCCCAAGTTTTTAATCCTCATTCAGGGCCAGCTTTAGTTCGTTAGTTAGGCGGCGGTTTTGCTCGAGTTGATGGTAGAGTTGATCTGGACAGGTCAGCAAGGGTTAGCAGAAAAGAGGAGACAGAAAGAAGAGGTTAGCTAGAGTTAGCGAGAGGCAGTTAACAAACTGGAAAACACAGATACAAAGGACAGCCACGGTGTGCCCTGACCCCACGGTCCTGTGCCCTGTGCCCTGTGCGGGTGCATGGCAGGGCCTGTTGGAATGGAGAAACCCGGGATCTTGATGGAGATGTAGAGCAGAGGTAAAGAGGTACAGGATGTGAGAACGAGGCAGCATCCCTTCTGCACCTCATTAAAACCACCCTGTGAACTGAGCTATGTGCAGTCTGGGACAACAGACTTGGGGACAGAGGCCAGGCTCTGCCAACTCATGCCTTGCTAGAATTCAACAGAGATTCTGCTCAGGGTGCAGAGTGGTGCTGAGCTGGTACTACCATTTCTGCCCCGGGGACATGTTTTGGAAACCTTCCCACATTCTCTCCCTAGACACCGGGGCACATACAAAGTCTGAACTCTCCTCCGACTTTGATAGTGTACTACCCCCAGCAAACAAGTATTTATCGCCACTCCACACTGATTCAGAACTTATCTGTGTGCCTCAAGAGGATGACATTCATGCTGGGTGCTGACGGCATGCATAAACTAAATAAAACTGGGCCAGGAAGATGACTCAGCGGGTAAGGTACTAGCCTCAGAGCCTGATGACAAAGTTTGATCCCCAGGTTCTACACAGTGGAAGGGAAAAAACCCACTCCTAAGAGCTGTCTTCTGACTTTCAGATGTACATTGTGGGATGTGACTCCCCACCTCCCCGCCCCCCCCCCCAAAAAAAAACCCTCTCAAACATCTACACTTGCCCAGTGTGGTATAAGCTTTATGTGGTGCCATGTAATCCAGTCAGGTGGTAAAGCAGTCCAGCACAGGACTCAGCCTGTGCCTGATGATCCAGGGGACATCGCTGACAAAGAAGCTGGCCCACACTAGAAGTGGGGTGTCTGCGACTAAAGGATGGTGGCTCTGTGGACCGTGGCATCCTACTCGATGATGTGGAGAGCCAACAATCCTACCGCCTAGAGATCGACCACAACACTCACCGCTGGGAAACGGAGTATCAACGTTCTCTCATAAATGGCAGGAGGTGGGGGAACTTGCTATGCTCCTTCTGTTTGTGGGGTAGTATGAAGAACTACGTCCAACCCATGCTCTTTCCGCTTATCTAAATTTTCTGAATATTCAACACTCCAGTCAGCTGGCACCTCCTCCAGGTGAGACTTTCTGTTTGGCTCCAAACACACCATGTCTACCGGTGAAGACTCACCACATTCCTCTCTTCCTACGCGGCCAGCTGAGCAGAGCACACCCAGATCAGCTCTTCTGTTACTGTGCTACCTTCCAGTGTCTCCCATCTACTGAGAAGTTGCGAAACAGAAACCCCATGACTACATCCACCGTATCATCATGGGAAACTGTCACCACGAGCGAGCGGCAGGCAGACTGTCCCATTTGCTGAGCCCAAATGTTGGGCCATCTAGACTAGAACACTGGAGAAACCCTAGAGAATCCACGGCTTACGTGGCAGTGCTCCCCATCTCAACCCACTTTGGGCCTTGTTCCTTCTAGCTGCAAGGGAGCCGGGACTGAGATGACCTGAGGGCAGGGGTCAGACACATCGTAAGTGCTCTCCCTCCTGTTCTGCACAGACCCCAGTTGTCTTGAGGCCTCTGGTCTCAGAGCTGGTGGTGCTGTCGGTTTGGTTCAACCGAGGCTCTTGAAAGAGTTGCCGATACAGGCTGGTCCTTGCTCAACTAGAAGCCTGCTGAGCAGATCCTTGATCAACTCAGCTCCTGACGTACACACCTAAGCTACCTGGGTGTCCATTTGTTCCTATTTCCCTCACAGTGAACACTCATAGATGTAGAATTCTCTGGGAGAGCCAAGAAATTTGGACCCCAAGATGCATTTAATGTCAGCTTGGCAGAGCTCCAAGAGTCTTGTTTCCTCTGTGGCAGAAAGCTCAGAGAAAGTGCATCGCTGTTACTTTGAATTTTTCTGAAGTCATTGAGAAGTAGGCCCAAGGAGCCTCAGGGAAAGAAACAAACAAAACAAAACAAAAAAAAAAAACCCAAACACTAGAAAACTGCAGAAGCCTTTGCACCCTTCTATGGAGAGACACTGCCTGGATCCTAAAATTAGTCTACCATGCCATTAACTAAAATATTTTAATTCAGACCCTTGTTTTTTTTTTTAATATTTCCTGCTCTGAAGATTTCAGAGTAAATGACTACTTTCAGAGTTTGCCCAGATTTATTTGAGGAGAGTGGTATGCCAGCCCTATTAGGCTAACAAGTACCACACATGAGACAGACGAGGGTTATTCACACTTAAAACACAAGAACGGAGCCAGGCTTATGTTGAGAGCTAAGAAGCTAGAGATCACATTGTTTTAAAGTCCTACTTCTGATATAAAGGTTACCAAGCTGCTGTTTGTGACTGAAGTCAAGCATTGTTTCTTGGGGGTGTGTCTGTCATGAATCAAAGGCAATGGTTCATAAACAAGGGGGGAAACTCCTCTCATATAAATACACCTTCTGCAGAATATAGGATGTGCTTCAGAACGCAAAAATAAACCATGACCCAAATATAATTACTATTTAAATCCTATAATGTGGTTTTTGTGTTCAATATGAAGGTATCTGCATAATGAATATATTTAACAAAAAAAGCTCCAACTCACTTCTGCAATAGGACAATAAATAATAACCATGACTTACAATGCTAGAATCCCAGTTCTTCACAAGATGCAAACCTCCTAGCTACAGAGCACAGGATGGCTACACAGACTTCCATTACGTAGCCAGGCAGCGCCATCTCCATATCAGCACCGAGAGGGTGCCACACCCCCAACTAAACTTTTGGCAGAGAAAACGCTGCTCAGGCCAGAATTTGATTCCCACTATCTACTGTGTGGAGGTTCTGAACCCCAACTGTCAGAACCATCACAATATTCCTAAAACCATAGCTACCTGGGCCTCACGCCAGTACCTGAAAACCAGGTATTCTTTTTAAAAGTTGCACAGGGAACTACTACTTTAAAAACTCCTGATGTCAGTATATAGTGTTCAGAAAAAAAAAAAATGTTCCCTTAGATCCACGAAGCAGAGCTGTCGTTTTATTCAGTGTGGAGATGAAAACGTCAGTAAATAAGGAGTAAAAGAAGAGCGAACAGGAATAGCTTACAGTGTTTATTTTACACTGGGTGAATGGCTCCTGTACAATAGAAAGCACAGCATGTGCCTGGCCCTAAGGTGGGCGCTAATGAAAAGCTGGGTCAGCTGGAGAACAGACAGACGCAGAGCTCAGAGAGGTGGGACATCCAGCTTGATGAAGGACTCTTGGGAGGAGTGAAGCAAAGAAACTTATCTGTGTGAAACAAAAGGTAAGAGAAAGAAGAAAAGTGGAGCAGTGGAAAAGGAAGAGGAAAACCACACGGACAGGAGCAGCTGAAATGCAAGCAAGTATCAGGCGTGCAAAACCCACTGCCAGCTGCCCTTGGGGGAGGTCATCCTTGGCAACCACTGCCTGAACCCATGGGCCAACCTCAAGGAAGATCGTCAAAACTTTACTTTAAAAACAGAACTTAAACTAAACCTGCCTTTGGGGACATTTCATCACACTCAAGAGTCGTTCCCCCTCCCTCCCCCTGGGGCACCACGTTTTAGCACTGGTGGATTGGTGGCTACAGATGACCTGGTTCCACTCTTCATTTACTAATGGTGGAGAAGAGGCATGCCCATGTTTCTAAGCCCTGGTGATAGCCAGGTCTCTAAAGGATATTCTGGAACCTCCAAGGCAGCAGGCACAGGTCACGCTCCGGAAGCTACCATATTTCTGAATGGTTAAAGAAAGGCCACTCCCAGCTTTGATGGAACCCAGCAGTATTAGAATGGAAACACTCCAGGGGTTAGAATTGCAAGGGGCACAAGTGTGGTTAGTAATATGTAAATTAGCTGTGTATGTCTGAGGGTCCTCAAGCAAGGCCGACTATTACTCACATGGGTAAAATATGGACCATTAACTTCCAAACTCATATTGTATAAATGTTTTATTTCTTGCTTCTCTGATGTCAGTTGTGGCAAGCATTTACTGTGGGGTATTTTAATTCCATTCAATATAATAAACACAACAAATAAAAGACTTGGTTCCTCGGGAGACCGTTCAATTTTGCTCTGGAATTCTCTCCCTCTCTCTCTTTTTTAAAGACAGGGTCTCACTATACAGGCCTAGTTGGCCTGGAACTTGCTATAGACCAGGCTGGCCTCAAACTCAGAGATATACCTGCCTCTTCCTCCCACATACTGAGATAAAAGCCATGTACCACCATGCCTGGCTGTGCTCCAGAATTCACTACAGGGAGGGATATGCACTGGGTCATGACCATTTATTTTCTTTTCCTCAGGTTTTCAATTATCTGATACTTTAAACCTAACAGTGTGAAGTGAAAATGACCATATTGTCCTTCCCAGAATCTCAGGAAACAACCTGGTATTTCTTCCTAACTTCCTGCACCACTGCATCACAGCGTTCTAGTTAGTTATATCTGAGTCTGGTTTAAGGTTTTAGAAGGATAGTACTCAGGGCCACTCAGAGTCCAGTTCATCTCTCGGCAGAAAGAGGCCAGATCTGCATTTATGAAATGAAAGGATTCTGAAATGGTTTGCATGGACTGAATCCACTTGGCCTTTTGTTAGTACAATGTGAAAAAGACCATGGCTATCCTAGGCTATGCAAGAGAGCCAACCAAAGATGCAAATATGGAGACCACAGATTGAGAAGGGAGCCGTGGTGAGTTCATCACACAAGCATGAGGGTGAGGGTGCAAGCAGGCGGGGTGCATGAACATTTACATGGAAGTCATATCGTTGAGAGCGTGGTCCAGCTCCTCGCTGATGGCTTTGTACTTCAGTTTCTGAGCATACAGCTCATCTAGGAGCAGGAAGTGGAAGGCAGAGGTGCAAGGGCATGGAGAATGGTCAAGAGATGGAGGGTGAGCAAGGGTGGCGAGGACGCCATCCCGACACGCCAGCAAGGAAAGGCAATGCATGGAGGGGTTGGTGCCGCAGCAGATGGCCAATGCAGGAGGCGTGCGATTGGTTTTTTTAAAGAAATTGAAACAAAAAACAAAGAGAACAAAAACCCATTAGAAAATGAAATGAGAAAGACCCAATATGAAAAACACAACACCGAGGGTAGGTAATACCGATGAATATACCAATGAACCATTAAATCCTAAAGACACCCACAGAAGACCATTTCCCCTGGTGGGTAATGGAACATCTTTCTTTTCACAGAGCTGTCTATTTACACTGGCGTAGTCAGCCACCTGCAGCTCTAAGCTATGGGAGGGGGCTGCACGGGCCCGGGGCAGGCGGGTGGAGGGGGTGGGTAGCTATCCAAAGGCTGCAAGTTCAATTTCCAATTGACAGTCTACAATGCTACCTTCAAACCACTCACTTCCCGCCCAAGCCAGACCATGGGATATTGATTTTTTTGGTGACACTTAAATTATTCCCATGGTGTTCTCTCTCTCTCCCCTCCCCCCCCCCCCCCCCCCCCCCCCCCCCCCGCCTCCCTCCCCCCTGCTGTTGCTAGTAACAGAAGTCTGAAAAGCAGCCACAGTCAGGGGCTTGTCTGCGGTTTAATTTTGGCAATGGTGATAGGTCTGTGCCTTGCCACAGTCCTAGCAGGCCTGCACCCACACTCAGTTCTCTCTTCTCTCTGCTACCTTCCTTTTCGTTGTTGTTATTTGTTTGCTTGTTTACTTTTCTATTTCTTTTCCAGATAGGGTCTCGTTAGCTGGCTTGGGATTTGCTATATAGCCCAGGCTGGCCTCAAACTCACAGAGCTCCACCTGCCTTTGCCTCCTGAGCGTTGGGATCGAAGGTGAGTATTACCAGGCCTGGCTGCTATCTTGATAATTAACTGCACCACCCTCCAGTCCCTCCTTCAACCCCTTCTGCCTGTGATGTATGGCATTTTTTGTTTTTGCTTTTAAAAGTGCTTAAGTGTAACCTTGAGACTCAGTGCTCTATTGATCTCTGCCCTCTGTCCTTTCAGGATATAGAATATTTTGTTAATGAATGGCTTAAAAAAAAAGAAAACAAAACCAAGCCCTTCTTCTGGGCATACTTGGAAGATGGGTGTGTCTAAAACAAATCCACATTGTTCTGACAATTAGGAAATACCACTAGAGACACAGAATATACCAGAGTCACATTCATCTATAATTACTTCAGTCAGTGAAAAATAGCTCAGACCCGTTTCTGAAGTCCAAGAAGTTAGATGTAAACTGTCTGGTGGCTGACTAGTCACCCCAAGAGCTGAGGACTTGGGTCCGAGAGTTTCAGTGTCACAGGTGAAAAACCCAGAGGAGAGCCAGACAGGAAGTGTGAGAGCAAAATGGAGCGCCAGGGTGGAAGCCCTCGGATCGGAGGACAGTTGTTCAACAAGAACTAAATTTAAAATGTTAAAGACCTTACCTTCTAAGTCATCGATGCTTTTCTCCAATTTAGTTACTGATCTCTCTGCAAACTCAGCCCGGGTCTCAGCCTGTAATGATTTAATTCATTTGAGTCAAGGTCAGGGAGATTCAGTCCAGTAGCTACAGATACAGGGGAACCAGACAGACAGACGTCAAGTGTCTATCACCTGGGAAATGTCAGGTTCAGTCCCTACTGTGCGCTATGGCAGCTAGCTAACACAGGACATGAACTCCAAGAAAACCTCCGAACGTGCCTGCCTTGGACCACCCATCTCCAAACGACAGTGCCTTGACCCCCGCCACAGAACCTTAACCACAATCCAGTCAGTTTCCTCCAGGCTCTCAACATTACCTCCTTCAGCTTGTCAGAAAGAACCTTGATCTCCTCCTCGTACTTGTCCTCCTTCTGTGAGTACTGTAATTAGAAAGAGCGTTCCAGATGTCAGGCTGCAGCTCTCTCACACTCACGCCTTCTCACACGAGGAGCGTGCCAGCCCAACCAACAGATGTTGGGGATCTCCTAGCAGGTAACAGAACCTCGGGTATCGCATGGCACACTACAATACATTCTCTGCTCTCTTGCCTATTGCTTTACATGGGATAAGAATGAGATAACTTATCCACTTGGCACTTTGGGTAAATTAAATTGATGATTTACCCAACATAAGATACATTCTCTGTGAATCTTCTTTAAAACAAAACAAAACCAACAAAAGCAAACAACACAAACAAATCCTACTCTCCAATAGCCATTAGGAAATCATCTCAAAATACTGTCCCTTGCTAAAATGCCTCCGGCCGCTATTTTCACCAGCAGGCTTCTTTGGAGCAGCTCGTACAAAGGTGTCTCCCCACTCCCTGCTCCTGGCCTACCTTCTCAGCCTGAGCCTCCAGTGACTTCAAGTTGTTCGTCACCGTTTTCAACTCTTCTTCAAGCTCGGCACATTTGCTAAGGTTTTCGATCAGAAGCAGAAAGGGTGGGAGACAAGCCCAAGGAGCGAGGAGAGAAAAAAAAGGAGAGGGATGGGAAACAAATGAAAACCGAGTCCTAGAGATGGGGGGCGGGGGGGCTGCCTTAAGTAGCCAAAGCACGAGGCACGAAGCTCGGTTTTGCCGTGGGCTCTGCCTTCCACTGCAACAGCGGAGGGACAGAGGGACAAAAGCCAGCATCTCCATCCGAGGTGTGATCATTTGGCTTCTTATTGGCCGCCCCTCAGAGTATTTATGAGGGGGAAAAACAAAGAGCATAAAGGACCAAGAGAAAGCACTTGAAGCGAGATATAAACAGCAGAGGGTGTAGTGAAGGTACAGTCATTACACCAAACCAACCAGTAGGCATTGGAAGCTCAAAGCTGCCTGGGATGCAGTTAAACCTAAAAACCACACGTGAGCCATCAGTACCTTATCCTCGGCAGCCATTAATGCTTTCAAGGTCTGATCCATTATTCTTAATTGTTCCTCCAGCTGTCGAACTTGGCTGTTAGTGGACACAGGAAATGCACAAGGCCATTCACAAAATCAGTGCAGGTAAGGCATGCAGTGCCACACGCATTCACAGACACCCCGCATGGTTCCTCCGTGTTCCACGCCCGTGGCTCATCCGCAGGACTCTGAGCACACGAGGAGCCTGGAGCCGAGGTGGGTAAATGTGCAGCTGCCAGAAGGTCATGCTGTTTTTAGTCACTGCTCTGCAGCATCCCCACATGGGGTGGCCATGGGCCCGCTTACCCTTCCGAGAGCTCAGCCCGCTCCTCTGCACGTTCCAGGTCACTTTCAATGATGACCAGCTTACGGGCCACCTACAGCAGGGCAAATAACACACACACACACACACACTGTGGTCTTACGGACTTTGTGTAGGGGGTGGTTATAGGGTAGATTACATCCACTGACCCTAGGGATTCTTCTCTACAAATGGAACGCTCATCTTTCCGCAGACTAGAGACAAGCAACTCTCACTCAGCAGAGGCCGAGGCCCCCGCTCAGAGACCAGAATGGTTAGCTCTTCCCAGGTGGAGACTAGATAATTACATGGCACCCAGAGCAATTCTCGGAATGAGAGAAATATGAAATCTGCAATCTTAAAAATAGCAGGATGATGAGACATGAGGAGGCATTTTAGACTAAAAAGGGGCTGCTGAGAGAGCGTCAAAAATAAACCCAAGGACTCTACCACACAGAGATCTGCGCAGAAGACGAGAGCCAGCGAGGTGACGGCTGCAAGGTCAAATCTGCAGCCAGAAATGCCACCCCAGAGAAAGGGTTCCTCCGAGGCAGCTCAACACCATGGGGCAGCTTCAGCCATGATGAAATCCAGAAAGAAAAACTGGAATCTACAGTCACTCTGGCTGTCCTCATCACATGTCGTTTCATAGGGACAATCACCAGGGACTACTTCACTGCAGACAGAGCCTGTGCTAACAAATGATTATTATTTCCCCGGAGAAGCCTCTATGAATCTCCCAGGGAGCTCTGTCTGTGGTCTGTGTTCTCTACAATGTCTGAACTGAAACATCTGAACCATGACAACAGGCCAGCTTCTTTCCTAAGGGCCCAGCTCTCCCCTTCTTTTTTTCTTTTTTTCTTCCCTGGAGCTGAGGACTGAACCCAGGGCCTTGCACTTGCTAGGCAAGCGCTCTACCACTGAGCTAAATCCCCACCCCCCGACCCCATCCCCAGCTCTCCCTTTTCCTGGCTAAAGAAGTTTTTGTCCCAGCTTTCAGGGTGTGGGAAGTACTGATCTGTCCTCCCAGTGCAGATGACTGGCTGGCTTCATCGCGGTAAGAACCAGTTTCTGCAGGTAAAGGAATCCTGCCTCTCAGAACCACCCACTTCTATCAGGGAAGCTGACTCCTATACCCAGGGATCCAGACAGCATCCTGCTCCCCCGAGGTCACGGCTGTGAGTCTGTAAGGCTCTGGGCCCCAGAAACTGACCTCTTCATACTTGCGGTCAGCATCCTCAGCAATGTGCTTGGCCTCTTTCAGCTGGATCTCCTGAATTTCCATCTTCTCTTCATCCTTTTGGGCTCGGCTTTCAATGACTTTCATGCCTCTGGAAAGACAGACAAACAGGAAGACCCACGATGGAGAGATGACCACTGCCACTGTGGAATATGAGGCTGTATGCACACGGCCGGCCGAAACTGAACAGAGAGCCATTTCTTTTCCCAAGCACGGAGCAAAACTTTCCAGAAAAGACACATATTTCTCTCTTCTCGTTGTGAATGAGATCTTCCGGTGCACTTTGGGGTACTGGTGAAACTTCTAAGTCACCTATTCCTAAGTGGAAGGTGCTATGTCAGGATCCTAGCTGACTCTGGGCAGCATGGAGACAAGGGAAGCCACCAGGCTTTATTTGTTAAATGTAGAGATTCTTCCCCTTCTCCCTTTTCCTGAGGGAAGTCTCAGATTAAAAATGGATGCATAGCCAGGTATGGTGGTGCGTGCCTTTAATTCCTGGAGGAATTAACTCTGGAGGCAGAGGCAGGTGGAACTCTGAGTTAGAGGCCACCCTCGTCTACATAGAGAGTTCCAGGACAGCCAGGGCTATACAGAGAAACCCTGTCTAGGGGGTGGAAGAAAGAAAAAGAAAGAAAGGAAGGAAGGAAGGAAGGAAGGAAGGAAGGAAGGAAGGAAGGAAGGAAGGAAGGAAGAGAGAAAGAAAATGGATGAACAGGCGTTGGGAGGTAAGACTGACACTGGATGTTATAGCATGGTGGTATAGTTCAGAAAATGTTAACTGATCTAGATTTTACAGATTTATGCCATAAGCAAACCATAAATGGGTTTCACTTAGAAAAAAATTTGAGCAAGTTTAAGTAAAGCATTGTTTTTTAAAAGGCATTGATTTTTATTTGATGTCTATGAGTGTTTATCTACATGTTTGTATATGCACCATGTGTGTGCAGTACCCTCAGATGCCAGAAGAAGGTGTAAAAATAAATGAGTTCTATATCCCTTTTCCTCCAGTCTTGTACTGCCAGATTGCCTTTAAAGTTCAGTACCAGGAAGAAGGTATGCACAAGACTACTCCTGGCTAGCAAAGGAAAACTGAGTGGTGGTAAATAAGCTGAAAACTTTAGCTGACAAGCTTCCTTAGCCCTAACATCTGCAGGGGCTCTTTATACCTGGTGCCCGACAGCAGGGGTTCACTTCAAAGTAGTGGTGGAGAAACGGACCTTCACCTGCCCACTTTCCAGCTGGGGTAAGGCATGCCTGCACTGTTCTGAGCTCACACTGCTCTGCCACCCTTCAACCAACAGAACACTCTACTCTTATGAAGTACCCCCACACTCTGTGGCTTGTACAGCAGAGTACAGATTTTAAAAGCCTTTCAGAATGCACGAAGTTAGCATGTAGTGTGATGGTTAAAACAGACTGTTAACTTAACAGGATCTAGAATCATCTAGTAGACAAACCTCCGGGCCTACCTGTGAGGGAGTTCCTAGATGGAGCTAGTGAGGGTGGGGAGACCCACAGGCAAGAGTCCCTGACTAAATAAAAAGGAGAAAGCTGGCCGAGCACAGCATTCATTGCTATCTGATTCCAGACTGTGGACCTAGCGTGTGACCAGCTGCCTCATGTTCCTGTCACCATAACTTCCCCACCAGGACAGGTGGTATCCCTTTGAATCACAAACCAAAACAAACTCTTCCTTTCTTAAGTTGCTTCTGGTCAGGTGTTCCATCACACTAACGACAAAGAAAGTCATAAAGCCGGCCTGTGTGAACCATGATCCCCTTTGCTATGACAAGGCTGGGTCTTTACATATAAGTCAGGTTACAGCAGGAGTAGGTGCAAAACATAATTGCACCTGTGTCTGTGTGTACATATGTATTAAATCCAAAACATTTCACTTATGCAGAGCCTATAGATCATATCTGCTTTACCTATGCTTTCTCTCCTACCTGTTTGGCTACCATGGCTCCTTTCCTTAGGTCTGAGACTGCTTGGTATATATATTATTATTTTTATGTATTTGGGTATTTTGCTTGCATGTATGTCTGTGCATCATATGCATGCCTGGTTGCCTGCAGAGGCCAGAAGAGGGCATCAGACACTCTAGGCCAGGGTTACAGAAAGTTGTTAACTGCCATGTGGGTGCTGGGACTCAGACCAGGGTCCTCAAAAGAGCAGCCAATGCTCTTAATTGCTAAGCCATTTCTTCTCGTGTGGTGTGTGTGTGTGTGTGTGTGTGCGCGCGCGCGCACACACACACACACACACACATAGGAGCCGGATGGTGTGGTCTTACCTCTCACTCTCGTCTGCGGCCTTCTCAGCCTCCTCCAGCTTCTGCAGAGCTGTGGCCAGACGCTCCTGAGCGCGATCCAACTCCTCCTCCACCAGCTGGATGCGTCTGTTCAGAGAAGCTACATCAGCTTCAGCCTGGGCAGAGAGGGAAACGCTTCAGAGCTGGGAGCAAGTGAGGGTGGTACCTTCAGAAACAGGCCAGGACTAAAGTGCTGGCTCCAGACAGGAGGTCTGGGGCCTGATGTGAGCTAGCTTCCAATGACTGAATGCTTCCAGGGTATTGCAAGCCCTAACCAGCTCAAGTCCTCACACAGGATCGTCATGCTTGGAAGTACACAGACCTAGAAACAACTCTCAGCAGAGAGAGGGTCATCAGCAACTCGCAGGCTCTCGCGCTTGCAGGGCTCTGTCCTGCTCCAGCGTCCAGTGCCTTGCCTCTCACCATTGGCTGAAGGAAAGCTTCCTCACGGCTGATGGCAGGCTCAGTATGATCAGAAGGCGGGATGCCATGTTTCATCCAGGTATCCTTTCTCTGACAAGACTTCTCAAAAGAGCCTTATAATGAAGCTGAATGTTTTAAAATCCAGTGGTTTTAAAAGCACATACCAGGAAAATTAAAAAAACAGAAGCCCTAAATCAAAACAACAAAAACCATACCAATGGAGATCTAATGACATCTAGAAACTTCCCCTTTGCCCCACCTTTTCAGTAACCTCTTAGGAATAGCTGGCCCCACTGGAACAGGGCCAAGATAAACTTCCCAGGGGCTTTTTACCTAAGCTTACTGGAATTTCTTAAAAGTCAAGGTTGCTACAAGAAAAGTTTCACAGGCCTAAGGAGAAAAGCAACGTAGATACTGTTTTTATTTGGAATTTAGCTTTGAATTAAAGATTTTCTTTCTTGGGCGGGCAATGACCGCTTCCTGTTCTAAGTACTTTTGCTCTGAGCCTGGGAATACTTGCCTCACTGTGATAGGAGCTGATCCTAGACTATCTACCTGGTAGAGAAGGTAGGACTTGCTAATTGGGTAGCAATTATTAATCCTCATCCATTTTGAACCTGTGTTCAAAGGCTGATGAGCCCTTAGGATATTCAGGAGCCAGTTTTCGAACAATCGCAATACACACTAGAGAGTCCAGGCTCCTAGCTTTCTGCATATCTGTCTAAGTCCAAGGCATCTGCTCTCCACAGACCTGGGCTCCATTATCTGCTGAACTGAGTAGGTAGAAGCACCCTAATTTAAACAACGGCAGCTTTCAAAGCTCATGAGGGAACTGGAAAAGTATGTGTAGTTAGAGAGAGGCGGGGATCGTGGCCTTGAGTCACAGGAAATGAGACCATTTAATTCTGTACAGGTTTTTATCTGGAGAATGGCAGTGAACAGTGAATCTCCCACCACCATGAATGACTGCTGACTTTTTTTTTTTTTTAATATATAAACACTTTAGACTCACTTATCTCAAAGAAGAAAAACTACTATGTAGTAACCGGCTGCCAGAGGCAGGAAGCAGGGCCAGTGTAAAATGAATGGGAGGAACAGCTACAACTGAACCATCCCACAAGGTCAATCCTTATCAAAGAACAGCTTGGAACTGGGCCAAGCTGGGAATGTCCTGAATGTCTGAGTTTTTCCTTGAAGAGTAAGGGGATTGGAATAACCCATTTCTTAATGGCAGAGAATTGCCTTTGAACGACCATTCCTTTATTTTTTCATTTTATGTGTTATTAGTGTTTTGCCTACATGTGTGCATATATACCACATGTGAGCTTGCAGTGCCCATGGAGGTTAGTTCCAGGTGCCCTGGAATTGAAGTCAGGCATTATAGATGGTTGTGAGCTGCCACGTGGGTACCGGGAACAGAACCCAAGAACCCAAGTTCTCCACAAGAACAGCAAGTGCTTTCAATCTCTGAGCCATCTCCCTCAGCCTCTATAATTGGAAATATATACACATTGAGGCTATAGTTTTGGGTCAGGTTAAATTTCTTCATCTTGCATGTATTACATTTCTAGGAAAAATTCTACTCCTTTTACAAAGAGGCAGGTGGGGTGGAGACAGAAAACAAAAACAAAAACAGAAAATTGATTGGGATTAGTGGCTTCGGGCAGCTCCCCCTGTTCTTTCTTTTCTGACACCAGAGTGGAAGGTTCTGGGCTACCTCCTAGTACCCAGTGCCCCAAGTAAGTCTAACATATATGGACAGATCCTGACCAGCATTAGTCACTACAAGAAAATCAGCCATTAGACAAGTCATGTAAATCATTGTTTAAAAGGCCAAGAAATGCTGGTATGGATTTCTCTAGAATGCCTAGGTTATGTTCAAAGGTACCCTTATTATAATGCTATGTAATGAGATCATTATTATTTAATATAAGAGCAAATACCCTCGCTATATCAGCTTTTGGTGAATCAGAGAAGTGTGGGCAGGATTTTAAAAACACTTGTGCAGCATCAAATTCTAAGTTCCCTCCATCGGAAGCAAACCTCAAGGACCCTACACACTCACAGGATGAGAGGACCCTAGAGGACCCTACGCACTCACAGGATGCCTGCTGACGAGGACCCTACTCACTCACAGGATGATGACTGCTGATGTGCAGAGGTGGGAATGAACTGGGGCAGGTAGAGCACCAGAGAAGGCCATGACACCCCACATTCACTCTAGCCTCTCTGCACACACGGGCCCACCACACTGGGTCCGCTTCCTTCTCTCTGCCCCCACCCCTCTATACACTCTTCCCGTTGGCTACTGATACTGCTCAGCTGAATGCTGCTTTGTAAACATCCCCCACACCCTTCCCCCAGCACGTTCTTTTACAACTCCAAACTCCCTGACACTCAGGTTATTTCATGTCCTCCAACAAGACCAGCCAAGGGGCTCAACACAGGGCGCCTAGGCAGTGGCCGGGCTTACGGACTGGTTCCTTCAGGCCTGTTTTGGTAGAGGCGACTGGCACACAGGGCAGTGTTTGGGGACCACATCTGGAAGAGGCACTTTAAGTGTACCTAACAAAGCCCCATTGTTTGAACTGGAATAGAACCTGGGCATCACACAGGGGCCACCACTAGCTGCACACAGCACCCCACTGGGCGATGCACCCCACTGGGAGCCGAGTAATAGAAACAGAGACTCCCAGGTCCCATGCCTACAGATTAGGACAGTGAGAAGGGGCTGGGACCACGATGTAAATGGAAGTCCTTCTCCTCTTCCATCGCCACCCAAAGAAGCTGGGAAGTCATGCGGGAGCTGCCCAGCAAGCCGTCTACGCAGACCAAGGGAAGGCCCTCTGAAGCAGAGTGCTAAGGCGAGCTCGGGAGAACCCCGTCAGTGCAATGCGAGGCAGGCCTGGAACCCAAGCCAAAGCTTTGGCCTTCTCAAATATGAGATTAAGGACCCTTTGGGAGGGGTGGTTCTCATCCCTGGAGTCTTGCTCTCTTAGGCACCAGAGTGGAAGGTTCTCTATCATCCCTGGACCAGCAGCACCCCGAGTAATTTAAGAGATTGTCTGGACAGATCATGGTTAACATAAGCAGAGCAGTTACTGCAAGAAAATCAGCAAGGCACCTCAATTCTTTTTTGAAGGCAGAATGTCCCAGTGGGTAACCAGAGGCTCACCCAAGGACACTGCTCTCTAACTCTCAAGGATGGGAACTTGAGATTTAGTGCCTGGGATTCACTAACAGACCACCTTCCTGAGGGGTGGGGGTGGGGAACCCTGCATTCTGGCTCCATGGGCTCTCTTATGCTGGTCTAATAGTTTTGAAGATCTCCTCAGAATCCAAGACAAGTTTAATTTCCTAATAAAAGCACCATCTCTTATTCTCTTCCCCTCATTTTGAGACTCTGGTGTCTAGGCTGACTGGTGATGCTCCTGCCTCAGTCATCTCAAGGGCAGAGATTACATGCATGAGTTACCCTGATTTATTATGTTCTGTGTTTCATAGGCCCACACCTGTCAACTTTGCCAGCTTTTGTTTCTGGTTTGGGTTTTCCCTCAGAGTTGAGGCTTTCCTAGATATTTCCTGAGGGCCTTGGGATCACAGCACCCAGGTCATCTTAAGTATCTGTTGCTGTCTGTCAGAATGAGCCTACTGCCCTATGCCTATCTGTGAAAAGTGGATAGAAATAACAAGGCATTTGGGGAGCGTCAAGACCCCAGATGCAATTATTCCTAGGCATGTAAATCACTCTTAGTGCACTGAATTAGGTTTCTTCTGACAGTGGCCCCACACATCAACACTGCCAGCAAAGCCTTTCCAGTTGTGTTGCTAGTTTCTTTTTCTTTCAAAAGTACTACTGGATCCCAACATGTAATGAGTTACTCAAAAAGGGGACTGTTGTATTGGGGAGATTATGAGCCCTGGTTAAACCACCACCCAGTGCTCACACATGTGAGATCCTTAGTGCTCTATCTACATGCTCCCTGCCCCTGTAAGCACAGCTCCCACCAAGGAAGTCCTGCAAGCTCACCATTCCCACCCCTTCGCCCTGCCCCCAAACAAGGAAGTGGCGACCTTCGGAAAAACACAGGCACACACCACTGCCCTACCCCAGATGTAATAACTGTAATATGTAGAAATCAAGTGTTTCCACTCCAACCCAGCGAAATGTGATTCCAAACCAGAATTGAATAAAGCCCAAGATTGACATGAAATTCACATGTTTTAGCCAATACAAAAAGAAGAAAATCCTTTACTCTGAAAGCCAATGCTCTGGAATATATTTCCCAAGTCCTGACTGAATCCGAGCGGAGCCTGGAATGATCAAAGGTCAGATTTTTTATTTCACGTAAGCTGTAGTTACAGAGAGGGATTCACCCAGCTTGCTGTGTGAGACCAAAGTGACTAGGGCCAAGCTAGACTTCTGCCCTTATATGGTCAAGAAAGGGGGGAAAACACAAGGACCACATTAGGGGCACTCCCATGGATAGCAGATAAACACAACCTCCTCTATCTGGGCCAAAGCCTGTAATTTGTGAGGCATGTTTGTGTAGCAAGAGAGGAGCGAGCGAGGTACTGAGGTGCCTTGCTGTGACTGCACAGGGGAAGCAAGAGCCTCGAGTATTGTCAGTCACAGCCCCTCTGGAAGTGCCAGGGCAAGCCCAGAGCACACTCAGTTTCCTGGTTCCAGAAG